AATATATGTTGCATTCCTTCTGAAATTCAGGAGCAAATTCAAAGAAATCAGTGGAGTGATGCCTGTGTAGTGATAAAGATGCCCCCTCCTACCTTCTGCTGGTTTTCACCCTGAGCCTTCCCTGATTTGTAGGAATTACATTGGTACATCTGTTATCTGGCCAGCAGAGGGAAGCAGAAAGATATATTAAAACCACACTGTTTTCCCAGCCTGCACTCTGCAGGGTTCCTTTTCAAGTCCAGCCAACACTCACAGGTGCCAAGGGCCTCCTGGGCTTTCTGGATCCAGCTTTCAAGCTACTTCCTCTGCTGGTGGAAAGAGGATGCCCATGGCCCCTGCTGACAGTCTCCTGCTGTCTGGTGACTACGTGGTAACCCCAGAACTCTGAAAATTAAGTATATTAAGAATTTCTGAAACTTTGTGGACCAGGTATGTAAAGTAGGTAAATCAAGGAAGTATTTGGCATCTTCCTTCTTTCTTCTTCTGCCTTTGGCATCTTCTCTTTCTTCTCCTTCCTTTGATCTGTTCCTCCTTGCTTGTCTCTCCCATCTCAGTGATATCAGGAGTGTATTATCTCAGGATTGAATAACAGCAATCAAGGATGTAAAGGACAGAAGATGAGGGAAAATGATCAAGGTAGAGAAGTTGCTTAAATACCTTCTGTAGGCGCCATCAGTCTGTCTGGTCAGCTTCCAGGAGTTCCAGATGACCTGATGCTAAGTTCTGACTAAAAGAGAAGAGGCAGAGTCTTAAGGTAGCTTCACAAAGCACTCCCTTCCCTTTGAGAATTTCCTGCTTGAAGGGCAGAGCAGGCAGGAAGCCAAACCACAAGCTACACAAGGGCTTGGCTGATTCTTTCTTAAGCTTTATCCCTAGAGAAAAGTTACCGCACCACGTAGGGGAGGGGAAGCATTAGATCCATTAACACTAGACCGTTTGGGGGCTGCTGACTTAGTTTCCTCCATCAAAAGCACTCGACTGTGTCCTTTTCAGCACGAGCCATTTTGGAGCGCATTCCTTTAGCAGGGTAGTCAGGAATAAGTGCCAGTACATGAAGTTTACCCACTTGTAATTTAGGCAATGTAAAGAGCTTATTTGCTTCTTACTACCTGACCTAGAATACCGAACAGGTGAGTTGACCCACTTTTGTAACTCTGCCAGTTTACCACTGTCTTCACACATCCCTATGGGTACCGAACACTGGAGTTTGCAAGGTATTTCTGACGGACTTACCTTGCAGCTCAGCGCCCCCTTACATTACCAGAATACAATTCAAAGCATTCAAAGGGCACAGAGGTGCGCAGTCACTTTAGCAGGAGGTGTATTTCCAAGGGCGTTTAGATGTCTAATCTCCAATTACTTTCAACAACACTGAGGTGATGATGGGCATGCCAAACCCAGAGCTGGATGCATTGGATGGGAGAAGGGCTCTGTAGCTGTTTCCCTGACACGTGCTATCCTGGAAGGCGCTAATCAAGAACGTGCTGCCGGAGTAGTAACTCCCCTTTACGGGGCAGGGCTGAGCATGGGACTCCATCCAAGCTTCAGTGGGCTGGTCAGCAGGAGCAGCCAAGCCTGGGCAACACCAGGGAACGGAGCTTGCAGATGCAGTTTTTTATCAGCTGCTTTGGAAACCTGCTGCAATTTTAATAGCCAGTTCTAGCGAATTGGACCAATCTTGCTTTCCTCAGCACAAGCCTCTTGTCCACGGAGGTGGAGAACCTCAAGCACGTGGCAGGGCTTCCACGTGGCAGGGCCACATGGAGATGCAAGCTGAAGACCAGAGCAGTGCAGTGTCTGTTCTGCTTCTAGTTCTGGGGGTTGATAAAAAATAGCTAGCTCAGGATCCCTGCCTGCTCCATGTGTACAAGCCCTCAGACCACATCGTCAGAAATCTCCTCGTGTCAGTTTGGCATCCTAGGAGTATCACACAGGGGCTGAACTGAAACACAGTGTAAGTCAGAGCAGCTCTGCTGAAATTCCCAGAGTTGCATCACATACCTCAGCTTTTGGTTTGTTCTGAAGCATTTTCCTACAAAGAAAAAATATGTGGAAAAGATTATTTGTGACCATCTGCTTTATAACTCAGGGGGCATTTTTATGAGGAAGGCCAAATCCACAAGGATTACATGTGCACATAACAAGAACTGGAGACCTGGGATCTGGTTCCTTGCAATGCTCTTCCAGTTTTAATAGAAGTGGCACATATTTGTGTTTTATTATTTTTAGCATTATAGTAGCATTATTACACTTGTCCATGCATGTAGCAAGAAACAGCTCAGCTGCAGTGGAAAAACAGACTGGTGAAGTGATTTGCCCATGATCTCACTATAAATCAACGGCATCTTCTCCGGTAGACAACACTGCCTGCCCACTCCCATCTCCTCTTCCCTTTAGTCTACTCTTTTGCGAGACCAAGCAGAGCAAGAGCCTCCATTCTTCTCCCTGCCATTTCTGGTTGTTTCTTAAGGGCGAGCGGGTCATTCAGGGTTGCTGCTGCTGCTGCTATATGGCCATCAGCACAGGTCCTGTCTGGACGGTGTTTTTTAATCAACCGTATGCTCGTCCTATGCAAGTTTCCATTTCCCCACTTTTAACCTTGCATCTTTCCTGCTCCTTCTTGATCCTGCAAAAACTTCTACACAATCAAATCCCTTCATGCAGCTTTGTGTCTTTGCACGAGTGGAATGATGCCCAAACTACTTTCTTTTCTACTCTCAACTCCACATTGCCTCGTTCTTCAATTCCATGCATCTCATTCTCTTTCCCTCGCTGTTATGCCCATGCTATTTTTTGGGGGGCATCCGATCATTGTCAGAATCCAACTCTGAAGTCATCAGAACGGGAACTAAGTCACTTCCAGGCACTTCCAGAATATTTTCCATTGGTAACTGGCAGACAAGACAATCAATGAAGTTCACATAATGGTAGAATGCTCTCAAAGAACAGGAACTTCAGCTCTTTCCATCCTACATGCTGGAATCATTTCACATTTATGTTAGTACAAAGTTATTTCTTTCATCTTGCATGGTCCCAGATCTCCCAAATCCCACTTTTTTTTCTGGGATTGGAAGAAGTAGGGCATGCTACCGACGGCATTCAGCACTTCATGGGACCACGCCTGAAAAGCTGGGGGTATCATGTGTGACACTGGCAGGTTTTGATTTCTTTGGCTCTATAAATCCCACACAGTCCTCTTTTTGAAAAGCCCAGAAAGAGAACAGAGTCAGGAAAGGTGTGGTGACTGTGAATAATGCATTCTGCCCACGTGCTGAATTAATAAGGTCCAACTCAGATGTTACAGGTGAGATTTTAGATTTGCTGTGGCTCCCAGTCTATACAAATTGCCATGTAGACAGTAGAGAAATTTGATCTTCCTCATACTCAGAAATATTCAGTTTTCCATGCAGCAGGAGACTTGCATTAAAAGATTATAATTTTGGAACACTGACGACATCTATCTCAATGCACAATTACAATTAAAGCATAAAATTCGGGGGTGCAAGTGATGGCTTGGAAAATGTTACAGGAAATACAATAATACCATCATTTATGCTGTTGGTACACCTTCAGCTGGAATGTTCTGTTTAGTTCTGGCCACCCTAACTCTAAAAAAAGGCTACGGCAGAAATAGACTCAATTTAGAAATAAGAGATATGATCATTAGAGCCCCCATAAAGACTGAAAACTCTGAAGATATTTAATTTAGAGAGAAGGCAGATAAGATGGCTTGAAATGTATGTGAAATAATTAAGAAAAGTGAAATAGTGAGCTTCTCCCATATCATATTAAACAGAAGAATATCAGCATAAACTTAAAAACCAATAGATTTAAACTTGAAAGAAGGAAGTAATTGTACAAACAGTGTTCATTCTCCATTTGTAAACTGGGATGGTAATTTACCATGAAAGCCGTTTGGAGCAACAGATATACAAATAAAAAAAAAAAATTAATAGTAGTTCACTCACAGCCATAAGGGCCAGTAAGACCAGTTGTAAGGGAGGTACATGTGGACACGTATGGACTGTATGGACCATTGCTCTGTTCCAGCATCACTGGTCTCAGAGTTACTCCTAAAAGAATTGGTATGTTTTGGTCTGTGCTCGGCAAGATGAAGAGCAGGGATGTACTGCGGAAAGGAGCTGTCCCATTAGCATCGGTGTGAGCCCATGCCTGTGTCTCATTGCGTGTGCCCCGGGAGAGAGGTAACTAATACAGCTTGGTCGATGTGTGTGATATTTCTCTTGCTAGAATGAAAACCTAGGCCCAGGATTCTATAGTGTGTAACTCATCAGTCTGCAGAGATCAACAGCACCTCATTGTCAAAGAAAGGAACTCGATACTTCTCTTCACTGGTAAGAGGAAGCATTTTATTTCAGACTGATTTCCAAAGCTGCTGAAGTCACCTAGTGGCTTTGCATTGACTTCAGTGGACTATGGATCTGGTCTTTAACTGACTCTGTCGACTATGTCTGCAATACCTCCTTAGTGTTGTATTTGGGATGTTTTGAAAATCCAACCAAGAAGGAAAATCATTTCTCATTGTCAGACAGTTATAATTAAGGTGGAAGTCTAACAGCTATTCTAAGCTGCTTTTTCATATGCTCTTACCTTTTAAATTTCTACTGGGGCTGAAATTTCCTTTGCTCAGTCTCACCCAGAGGTGGCCCTTTTTAGTTTTGCATGAACCTTTTCAAGCAAAATTGGCAGAGCTGTTGTTAAGTTACCAAAGTGTAAAGAAGGATCCATACACACACACTTTGTGGACTCATTTAGTATATTGTACTAAGCTATCTGAAATTCACAGCTGAAGCGGATGATTTCAGGACCTGTTCTCTCTAACACAAGACTTAAAGGTTGTCTTTAAGGTTTCTTTTGCAAGCTGATGGGCACCTCCACCCCAAAAAGAAGAAATCAGTGAAACTTAGTACCTGAAAAAGTCACTCTTGCCCCTATTTCATCTCGTAGCACTTGCAGCCATCAATTCTGCATAGCAAAGTTTCTGCTGTTTTTAAAATGCAAAAGGTGATTTGTCCTTTAGAAGTACATTTGGTAAATTCCAGGCCTCAGTTACTTCCCAGTTTCTTTCCAACTCAGCTACTGACAGTTTCCTTGCTCCCTCTGTTTCCAGGTTCCATGCATGGGATGCAAGAAAACCTCCAACTATCCAGCTGCAAATGCCTACAAGATCATGTTTTCAGTCCAAGCAAGACTTTAGCGAGGGAAACTAGCATGTTTCAACAACCCATTGCTAGGAAGATTGAGGAAATCCCCACTCCAGCACCTAGTCAGTACTATGTAAGGAGATTTAGAAGGGAGGAGAAGGCGGGGGCACAGCTAATCTGTAATGTTTGTGAAGTGACATTTGATGTTCCAGAAAACACTAGAACTAGCTGTAACCTACCTAGTTGGGGTACAGCTCTCAGGGTACTTCTACAGCCACGTCACTGGCTTTGATACTGAAAGACCCCATAGCACCCCATGAGTTTTCATCCCAGAAATCTGACCTGCGTTGGTTGGTTATAGGGAACTTCTGCCAAGAACCTCAAGGCAGGTGAATGTTACATCGTTAACAGGTACTGGGTTTTGAGGTTCAACCTCAGAGCTGGGAATCAGGTCTGCGTACGTACAACTGATGTAATTGACTGTGCCCTTCCACTTGCTGTGGAGCTGTGCCAGTTTATATCAGCCGAGGACCTAGCCTTCAGGTTCAGTTCCTGAACCTCCTGCTGATTCACCCTTGTGTAAGTCACTTAACTGTTCTGTGCCTGATGCTCCCCACCCATGCCATGGTGACCAGGCTTCACTGGGGTGTTGTAAACTTTAGTCCACAGGAATTCAGAGTGTGTTCTGAGATATGGAAGATGTTAACAAAACACAAAGTGTTATTAACAATTATCAGATAGCTTATAATAACATACGCACTGCTAATGGACTTGCCTGTCCCTTCAATGGTGTCTTGCTATAGCTGTGATTACTTCTGGATTGTTTTGTTATTCTTCAGAGAGAGTTTTTGTCTTTTTCTGCACAGCATGTCTGCGTTGCAGACGTTTCCTAGTGAGCTGTCCCCTTTTAAACTGCACTTTAATGCAAGATACATCCACTGTGTGGTGAGGCAGAGCACATTGACTCTTTATAATATTTGATGACTTTGCATAGCTGTTTAAGACAGAATGAAGATGACACAATTTAATAAGCTTAATAAGTTGCCATTCATCAGCTGAGACATCTTAACTGGCTGCATGCATGTTCTTGAAGCAATTCATGCTTTTATAAAGTAATTTGATACAGTTTAAACATCAGCAAAGGTGTTTTAAACAAACATGTCTTACCTCACGATTTGGGTGTGCAAAGAGCACACGTACAGAGTTACCAAGACTCAGCTGACATGGGGTAATCATGTTAGCTCACACAACCTATACGCTAAGACTGTGAACTTTCTTATAATGACTCACTCCGACTGAGTATCTGCCCCAGCATGTTCTAAGTTGATTAAACTAGTTTGCAGGCCATAATTATTTTCTATATCATACTATAATGGATTCGCATCATATTATTTTTAACATTGTAAGAATTTGCTTCTGGGAACGGCCTTCTTGAATTAATCACTGACTCATGATTTACTGTAGGAGATAATATCTAACCTACAAGAGGCAGAACAGGAAACTATCTATTTAAAAGATGGCAGTGTCTGATAATTTATGACTATAGACAAAGAGACATCTGAGAAGAAAAAGAAGGCCAGATCCTGCAGTCTTTATATGGTCACTGCTCTCAGTCAGGCAAAAAGGAACTTTTGTCTAGTAACTGGAGGATCTGCTTTTGAGGCAGTGACAGTTGAAAGTTGACGAATATTGGAGGAAAAATGAGTGAGAAACAAGAAAACAGCATCCCAAGCTGTCCTCAAAGCTCTGGGACCAAACACTATATTAAACTAAAGCCAGTTAAACATCGTGACTATTGTAGGCATTTCACTAGCTGAATATAGAAAACATAAGAAAAAAAAAAACGGGAAAAAGCATCAGTCTTTTTGTGTTTGGATCTTTTATGCAGGTTTCTTGCTACCTCCTCACTCTTGTGCATGAACTGGACTCTTCCACTTACATCAGTGAATTAGCCTTGACTGTTAAATGTTTTCTCTAACTATAGCCTGGTTAGAAAAAGTCCATTTCAGCAGCCAACAATAAAACACTTTAAATCCTGGAGCACGTTCCAGGAGGTTAGGCTTCATCCTGGGAATTTGAAGAATCTCCCTTTGTCCCATTTCACCGTGATCTATTCTGTGATTCTGGGTAACTTGGCACCATAGGTTTTTTGACTCTGTTCCTTACAGAGCAATTCTCACTTTGAGCGTGAGGCTCCTTAGGAGCTGTGGATGAAATGTGTTTCTATGTATATTTTGTAGAAGAGCTGCAGTGTGCACCAGAGCAGTGACTGGAGCAGGTAGCAGAGCGCTCCAGAGGAGCAATGTGACCTGCTCCCCCAGGGACTTTTGGCACCTCTGTTCAAGTTAATTGCCTCGGGGACCGCTAGCAGCAAAACAACTGTGCTGCACAGTGAGCTTGGTGCAAGCTGCAGGAGGGCACAAACACTCCAGCAGTTCCCTGCAGGCTTGAACAAACTGAAATACAGATTCTTCAAGTCATCCTTAGCGCAAAGCCATCAGCCCACCCTGCAGTCCCAGCAGCGACAGCCACAGATACATCTCCTTTTCTCTGTGGCGCTTTCCAGGAGCTTCCACGCAGATGCCCCTTTGGTGTGTTGGCAGCACCACCTCAAATTCTGTGCTCAGTTGGTGACTTGAACAAAACCAGACACGTAGAGCTGACGTCGGAGAAGTCTGGAGACAGCAGTTAAACACACAAAGCCACATTTTCTGCAAGAGTTTCAAGTCCCCGGCGTCTGTGTAAATGTGACCTTTACATGCTGGGCAGTCACAAAGAGCGCTACCTACAATTGGTAAGCACTCCCAGATTTTGGCCCTAATAATGCCTACAGCTGTATCATTAGAATCACTCACAATGGAGACAACTGGATTTTAAATGTGGGTTTTCCTTTGTTGGTAATTACCCACAGGTAAAGTCAATTCAAAGGCATTCACAAGCCCTTTTTCTTTTTTCTGAAACAGACCTCTATGTTGCTTTGCTTGCAGAAATTCAATGTTTCTGGCCAGACGGTGTTTGTGTCCAAAACCACAAGAGGATTAAATTTGGAAAAATTTGGAAAATGGCCTTCCCCGTGTACGTGAGCCTTGAGCTGAGAGGAAAGATGTTGCTGGTGATTTTGGTTCTGATTCTCCAGGGTGCAGAGCACCATCGCACACAAATTCAGGTCACTCAGAGCTTCTTAAGGATTTAAGCAGGTGTCGGGACACTAGTGAGTCTCCCTTCCAAGAGCTGTCGGTAGGTCCCTTTGAACCTCTGCTGAGACAACCATCCGAAAACCATCCTGACAGTTTTGAGTAGCCGTAAGGAATCACTAGAACACCCCACAACTCAGTGTAAATGCCAGCGGCTTCAGGAGAAGCCACATTAGTGTATAACGTACCAAGCTCCACAGTACTCTAGCTTTAAAAGAAGTCTACTCCCGGCCCATTGCCTGCTGAGCTTTGAGACCTGGAATGTGAGGGCTCATAGCTTTGTAGCTTCTTACAAGTTATACCACGTGTGTGTTCTCCTCCTGTTTGTTTGATTCTTTAAAATTGCTAATATCTCCATTTGTTCCTATGCTCAGGACAAAGTTTAGAGTTGCTTTATCAGTGTCCCTCGAAATAAGCTCTGGCCAGGGCAGCACTTTTTAAATCCAGAAGTCATTTCCCCACGCAGTCCTGTTATACCGGTTCTTTTTCCTGCTATTACATTCACTGACTGATGCACTCTCTTTCCTCAGTGCCACTGTTGCGGCCTTGTTTGGTACTTACATCCCTTTCCTGTTTGTTTTGCAGACCTCAACGATTCCCTCATCAAGGTGTCTCCCAAGGGTATAACATCTTGCTTCAAGTCAAAGACCTCCCGCCTAACAAGGATGGACAGATTTACTCCAGAGCCTGCAACCTACCAGCCACATAAAGCTACCAAGGAAGCAAAGAAAACTCCTTTCAGGTAAGTCCAGCCTGGAAGACATGCCACTTTCATGGGACATATGAAAATACGTCAGAGCAGAGTGGTCCCGCAGTGTCCCACTATATCGCCCGGTCCAATGTGGCCAGTTATTGCCAGAGGTTTACAGGAACTGTCTCAGAGGTGGAAGTGTTACAGTGCACTGCCTTGAAGGGGAGTGTGGGTTGATAACACCCTGGAGCAGTGTATCAGAGGTTCCTTTATCAGATGATCTCTCAGACATTTACAAACAGTAATTAAACACTGCACCACCCTTATGATGTAGGGGTAATTTCTTATCCCCATTGTACAGAGCAAGAAGCCAGAGCACACGTGACCTGGAAAAAGATCCTTCACATCCCAGGCAGAGGCTTTAAGCACTAGGCTGTGTTTCTTTTGCATTGCCAGTGCCTAACCTCACCCCCAGAGGAGCACACTGGGCATAAAGAGTCAAATCTGGGAACCACTGGGCAGGAGCGGTGAGGGATGCTCATGGCTGCGCAGCAGCTCAAGGAACCTGATGGGTAAAGCATGGGCATTTCCTCAGCCCTTGCTAAGGCTGGGAATTAGAGCTGGAAAGAGGCTTGTAAAACTTCCAAGTACTTCCTTCAAGCCAGAACTGCCATTCCCACGTATTCCATCCTACCGCTTGTTTCGGGGAGATTAAAAGTCATGAAAGGAAACTCCCTTCTCCCAAGCCCTCCTGCCCCTTGGTATCCTCATGAGAAGACAAATAAATCTGCCTATCAGCAAATTGTTCAGGCAATTTTATTGTCACCATGCAGTGACGTTGCCTGGCCTGAGATTAAGATCAACAATAAATTCCTGACCATGGAAAAGAATGAGAACATGAGAAAGCCCACGGCTCTCCTTACCCAACAGGTGTATCTTTACTACATCTCTCAGCAGTTGTATCTTATAACAGGGGTTTTGTAAAAAGAGTGGGAAGCTGTAGGCTGGGAGGGAAGCAATGCCAAGTGGCATTTGATAAGGACAGAGGGCTAGAGGAAAGGGCAAATTAAATACGAGGAGAGAAGATCACCAGTCTGTATTATCAGAAAACACAAAAACACTCCACACCCAACTGCTGGGGTTAGAGCCTGCTCCCTCTCCTGTGTCAGTCAGTGGGAGAGAATGGGAGGAACTCCCGGTTGGAATCATTTGGCATCACTCTCTTGGTTTCAGCGCTATCTCGCTCTGGAGTAGCTGAGCAGCCAGGTCTCTACAGAGGCTGGACCAGTGGCAAGTCTTTGTATTTTACAATAAACAAGTCGGGCTGTCTGTGGCATTGCAATTGGACCCTTTTTTCCCCAGATCATTTCCCAAAGATTTTGGCTTAGGAGGATAAAGCATCCGCCTCCCCAGGGCACTTAACAGAAACCACAGCTTTTATTTCCAGACCTAAAACCCCATCAGCGTGGGACAAGTTCCTCAAATCTCTTTTTCTCCTGACAGGCAGAAATTCTGCTTGACTCTCTCTGCTCCAGCCATCCCACCTTGTAAAGATCCTCCTTCACCTGGGCCTGGGCCATCCAGCCTTGTAGATTACAAAGGGTCTCCAAAGCAGGACTGCTCAAGTGCTGTGTTTGTCTCAAACACAGGGAGATGGACGGGGAGCATGTCACAGGAAAGGTTCCCTGGGCCAGGTAAAAGTAAGAATTGTTCTGAAGTACTTCTCACTACTAGAGACAGCAAAACACAAACGTGACTAAACAGTGCTGTTTGCCCACTCAACAGGAAAAAAAATGAAGCACAGAAATTAGGAGAGCCCACCTGCAAAGGCACGTGGACACCTGAAGACACACACCATTTCTAAACGGCACTTAACTCAGTAGCACGTGGCATGTAGGACCTTTTGTGAATGGGGGACAGTAGGTTTATGATGAGCACCAAGTGTCTAAATTCTTATAAGATCAGAGCACAGCGTCTCCCGACACCTTTAGATGGTCTAATATCATTGCCAACCTGGGCTGAATGGTCTCCAAAGGGCCATGCAGCAGCAATGTGGCAGAAGCAGCGCTAGAGTCCTGACTACCAGCTCTTTATCCAACTTGTTCATCCGTATTTTACAATATTATTTTTAAAGGCAAGATTGAAAAAAGCATGTTTGCAATGCAACGGCCATTAAAGTATCACTGACTGTCAGTGCGTTTGACAAACAGGTTCTGTGAGTTCTGGTGCATGTGTAAAACTATCACACAATTCTGGCTGTTGGTACAACAGACATTTCACCTGCAATATTTTTCTATTTGGTTGGAAGAGAGGAGCACTTGCAGGGAGAGAGGAGAGAGAAAAAAAAAAAGCACGCCTTCTTGCAGTACAGAGAGCCTCCGTGCCCCAGCTGGAGAGCAGCGTTGCAGAGCACCTCAGCACAGTCTCCTTGGTTTTATACCCCTCTGGCTGTCCTGTCCTCCATAGGCTTCACCGGAGCTTTCCTGACGTAAAGCTGAGTAAAACCAGAGAAGAAACACATCCTGCAGCTTGTAATCAGGAAGTGTCTGGTGAAGCGGGAGGAGGGACCCACCCTCAGTGAGGAACAGGTTAAACACACCACCCTGACCTACAGTGACACGCCACCAGTCCCTCCAGCCAGGACCAGCGGGCAGCTGCCTGACTCCTGCAGGCAGTGGTCACGGCTGGAGTTGTTCCTCAACGGCGAAGGAACAGCTCACACAAGGAACAGTGCCGAATTTTGACCCTGACATTAGCATTGATAAGAGAGAGGCAGATGCAGGGACAAATCCTGCTGCAGTGTCCTTGTGCTGAGCAGTTCTTGACTGCGTGGATCGGAGCTCGTCATGGGGTGGAGGTAGAGGTCAGCTCAGCCTGGGTGGATCGTGTCCCTCGGTGCCCGTTGGCTAATTGTTGCCAGGCGCAAGTAACATTATTTTTTCAGTTAGTCAGACTCGTATTTCTTGCCCTGTTTATTTCTTCTAAGATTCTTAAGTCCTTCTGGGAGGTTACTGAAGGGCTGGAAAAGCAGACAATAGCAATACTGCTATTATTTCTAGCGTTTGAACTTACCCAGCTGCAGATTTTGTACCAGCCACCGACAGCGAGAGGACACACTGGTGCCATTAGTTTCTCCAGAGCCCTCGCGGCCGCACAAATGGGGTAATGGGCTTTTCTGGAGCCACGTCCAGATCGTATCCCGGACTTGCAACGTACCGTGTCAAGATGCCAACTCCCCGAGAGCTGTTCCGCTGACTAAGCTAGGACAAGATCCCCCGCCAATGTAAATCAGCCCGTTTCAGTTAAAGGAACAGAGCTAGGCCAGTTTATTTGTGCTGAAGATCCGGCCCACAGTTGTTACGGATGGTTACCAAATTAATTAAAGAGGAAGGGAATGGGCTAGAAACACCTTCTGCAGCTGGTGGAGAAATGCCCTCTTTCATTTTCATCAGTCTTTTATGCCAATTTGATTAGAAACCCATGCAATACCATGCCAGTACATGAAAAGGACAAGGGGACGCCATCGCCACAAAGCCATCTGTGTAGTCTTCGCTCTGTTGCTAGAAAAAAAAAACCCCACATCTCCATTCCACTCTGGCCTGAAAAGAGGGGAAGAAAATTCCACTGGATCAAAACTCCCAGTCATGAGACGAGAGGTGACTTGAGCCCTTTGCCCACGAGAACGCACAATACGTACAGGACTATTCTGTACTATACCACAACGAGCAGAACTACAGGGGGGCGAAATACTTTGCAATTAAATCGGTCAGTGGCTGATACAAAGCAGCAGCTTTAGTAAAGGCTGGTTATTCAGCAGTTGTTGATGCCTGGGCTGTTTGGAGCCGGGGTCTCAGTGTTTCCGGGAGCTCTGGGTAATCCCTTGCACAGGAATCAGTCAGATGTACAATCGAGACAACCCTCGACATACTAAAGCTAACCCAAAGTCCGGCACAGCGAATGTGAGCACTAAACTAATTCTATGGCCAAGGACGCTTTCCAGCTGAAGACACCAGGACATTCGCACTGGCTGAGGGTTTTAGTACCAGTCTCATCAATCAGAAATTTAGTTACACAAATCCAAGGAACTACCCGAGGAAATGGGTGAGAAAGCAGAGCGGAGGGGGCCCTCACTGACTTCATTAAAGCTTTCCACGCTGCGAAACGGATGCAGGCAGAGTTTCGTTTTCCTCTGTCTTTGATCCTCTCCGATACCCAGCCCAGCACCAGGGCATCTCCAAACACAACGTGTGGGTGTCCTAACAAAACACAGGATGCTGTTTTTCCCTTTATAGCGATGGAGAACCACACCACGCACCGAGATCCTCAGCTGCTTGGTTGATGATGCAAGGAATGAATAAGCATGAATAAAGACACAGAAACTGGGTGTTATTTGTGGAAGTGAAGAGCGGAGCCCTCCGCCCAGCGCTGGGGATACCAGAGCTCTTGCACAACTCAGCTCACATGCTGCTCCGTTTCTCTTTTTTTATCCCTCTCTCTCATTGCAGGTGCTTATTCACCCAGAGCACTCGGGAAGTATTTCTTCGTCTACGGCTACGGTAGGAAGCGGCTCCTAGCGCTGTGAGCGGCACAACCCGGACACCAGAGCAGGGACTTCTGTCAGACTCTGCAAAGCACGAGCTAACTCGCAGTAAGCAGTCCTGTCCTCAGCCTGCCGCGGTTGGCTGGCTGATAGTTCAGCAGCTGATTAGCGGTACTTGGTACTGTATGTTGGAAGATGATCATTAGCTAAAGGTGATTGAGAGCTTCCAGTTTTGTAGATGTTGAATAATTACTACAGTTAATGGGAGTTGCAAAAAAACTTCTCTTGGTGATTTCATCTGACAAACCGAAGAGAAAACGGGTGCCGGAGACCGCCCATGCCCATAGGAGATGTTACCCTTTTCCTTTTCTTTTCCCCTTTCCCCTTTCCTTTTTCCCTTTCTTTTCCCCTTTCCTTCCTCCTAAGAAAGGAGTCCTTTCTTATCAGGGTAGAAATACGTGAGAAGGGCAGCGTGGGCAAATCCTGCACCTCTGCCGCTTGCTCGCTCAGGGGATGGACACTGGGTTTGCCACACAGCGTCAGGCCTTGGCGCAGCCGAAGGACAACGCCTGTGCAGAACGCGTGTCAAACCTCCACGGTGCGGGGGTGCGTGTGGCCAGACACCCTCCGCCGCACGCCCGCCAGGTACATTTTACAAGCCAGTTGACTCGAGCATTTCTGACTCGAGTCAGCACAAACCAGCTGCCGACTGTCCAGAGCAGATTCCGCTCCAGAGGAAGCCGCTCTCATTTGTCAGCGCGAGCCCTTTGCAAAACACAAGTGGGTTCATACTTTCACACGACCTTTGTTCGCTCAGAGGTGAATCGCCTTCATCACTCGTATCTTAATCTTCAAAAGGAACTGGTGGGCTCCAGGCAAAGAGTCAAGAATGCTTTCGCATATTTGGGAGCTCCGCTTTACGCAACCTCTACAGCAACTCGCCTTTGCTGGAAGGGATGAACGATACTGAGCCAGTCAGCAAAACACCCACCCTCGGCAGGGGTGGCAGGGGGCGGTGACTGGGTCTGCTCTTACGCTGGCGTGAATCAACCGGCATTTGCCTGCACGCAGCGGAGTTACCGTGATTTAAAACCTGACAAAGTCAGGATTACCCAGAACCTGCACAGAAAAAGTACCTGGTTCTCTGCCTCCATCCCACGAGCAGAAAGCGGGGGGAAGTCATTTGCGCAGCGCAGAGACGCACGGCTCCGGCCAGGGCAGTTCTCACCCTGCAAAACTTAGGACAGGTTCGTAGCCGGTGTGAAATGGATCACGGTAAAATCCAGCAAAATTCATTGCTCTTCTGCTGGGAACCTAAAGTTACCAGTGCCATGGCTTTTGCTGTTGTAAATTAGGAGCAACGCTACTAGAATCAATGGAGTTAGGCTAGCGTAACCGAGAAGAGAATCAGACGGGTAGTGCTGTGTTTACACTGGTAGGAAGTTACCCCAAAATCAGACTTTTAGAGCAACTAATTGAGGGGCGAGAGGTCACCGAGAGCCCATAACATTGCGTGCACCAAAAAAAACCCCCAGAGTTGCCTGGAGCCTTCCCAAACCCGTACTGCACGGCAGAGCAAGCTGCCTGCGCCACCAGGGGTTTCCCCAGGGCCCCAGCCTCCGCCACGGCAATGGCAGCTCATGGGGGAGAGCACTAGCGCTGCGCAGAAACCTAGAGCGAGCCGCCGGGGTGCTCCCAGCTCCGTCCGCCTCCGTGGACATCCATGTCCATACAAACATGCTGTTTGTACCGATTCCTTGGGTTCAGGCCTCTCCGATGGTGTGGAGGACACGGCGCTTCCCCTGAACCGCCTACCCCCTTGTCTCTTAGGGGGCTGGGTGCTCCCTCTCCCACAGGCAGCGGGAAACCTCCGTTCTTACCTTAGTAGCTAGTCCTTGTCCGCGTGGTCAGGCAGGATCGGTTCACCCTCCCCAGGACCAGCCCCGCGGAGGCAGCGCTGGCAGGGTGCCCTGCGCGTGGAGTCCTGCCGCAGAGCTCTCCCTGCGAAGAACAGAGCCCCTGCGTCCACCCGACGCACCAGGGTGACGAGGGGATCTGTGGATTTCACAGCCATCGGCACGAAGCGCTGGGGGGTTCCTGGCGTGCCTGTTTTTAACTGGAACTGAAATTCTGCTACAGCAAGGCTGTAGGCACGGCCTTGCAGAACGAACACTGAATCAGAGAAATCCTGCTGAAGAAGGAGTTTATGATATGAAGATGAAGGAGCGCAGAGCGCTGGGAGAGATCTGCTAAGGTTGATAAGCCTTCAAACTTATCTGAGCCTCATCTTGGAGGCCCTCCTCACTGCGATAACAACACTTAAGTAATCCAAAATTCACCAGCCTGATGGGTTTCGACAATTCAAAACCCCTTTCCCAGTGGGAGTAGAGCTGCTCTCCCCCAATCATGGGACTCAGGCGCACTTCCCTCTGACACGGACAGGAAAAGCAGAGGATGAAGAAGGGGGAGGAGGAAAGTCCCCGGGTTTCACTGGTCAGAGGATTAATGAGAAAATGCAGGGCTCCCCTTGGTATTTTTTTAGCTAAATGGGAAGCAGCTGCAGCCAACTTTGGCACAGGGGACACAGGGGTGCAGGATGGGCAGTTGAGAGGTAGCAGGTGTGAGGAGTTTAAACAGCCGGTGCGGCACATGCGGAAGAAGGTACACAGCTGGCGGTTACACCCCCCAAAAAAAACGTTCCCCCCGCCTTCGCCAGAAAGTAGGGGCTGAGCTGCTCCTCTTATGAGCAGAAGTAAAACAGGGCATTTCTTTTTGACTTGCATAAAATTTCACCACGTCTGCGTGAGGTAATCCCTCCATCAAAGGGATGTGCCTACGACTGCTCAGTAACCTCTGCCTGCCCGCAGCGCCGGCAGCGGGCGCGGAACCGGGAGGGAGAGCCCAGCGTGCGGGAGGGGAGGGTTTAGGAGGAGTCCAGGCGCTGATCTGCGTGCGCAGGTGGAAGCAGCAGCTGCAGACGTGCGCGGATCGGCAGCGCTTGCCGGTCTCTCACCCCTTCACGGAGAGACAGTTCAGACGGACAAACTCCTCGTGCTGTTAAACAGCGTGCGGTGCAAAACCAAGCCGGAGTCCCTCCTGTGCCGCTGAGGTCACCTCCCTGCCCTGGCTCCTGCCCAGCCCTTCCCACCTCCAACCTCCAGAGCTGGGTGAAAACAGTTCACTTTCCGTCTTTGAACCTTTATTACTACAGAATATCCAAAACAACAAAACCAACAACACAGTTACAAAAGGAGTTCACGGAGAAATGTGAAGCAGCCTGTGTTTGAAATGCTCTGTGTCACCGTACTGAGTCATATATAAAACAATGCATATTTATATATATATAAAATATAAAAGGAACAATACATCAGAAATGTATAAACAAGGGCTATGGAGGCCTGCGTGGTATTTACAGTCAGCGATACGGCGGGCCGGGGGGCATGGCAGCAGGCAGTGTCCGTTCAACAGTGAGTTTTCAAGGCATCTGTGAAAGTCTCTGCGGACAGAGGGAAGCTCAGAGCCGGGCTCAGCCCTGCTGGAAATGGTTTGAAGGTTCTGCGTGACTGATGGTTTGGGAGAAAGCCAAAGCCTAGGGTTGGATCAGTCACAGGCCAAGGCAAACAGCGAGCGGAGGCAGTCCCCTGCCTCTGCCCAGGCTCTGACAGCCATGTTAGTGTGGCTTTGTGTTCCCAGCTGTGAAACAGAAGGTCAGGCCCATCGCCAGAAGGGAATAAAATAAAATAAAATAAAATAAAAAATAATAATAATAAACTCAACAGAGAGAAGTTCCACGTTCACATCGGTAACAGATCTTCCAAGCAGTCTCCGGCCCAGCACCGCGAGGCCGAGGCCCTCCCCAGAGGCAGTGTATTCAAGTAAAGGCAACAAGTTGAGGCACCAGGCTGAGTTCTGTCGGGTCAAACTTGCCGGCTTTGAGAAAAGTCCCAGTAAGTGCTGCCTGCGGCTCTTTATAGCTCCTTGAGGATGATCTGGAACTTGTCCTCTGCTTCCACCATGTCCAGGAGAAAGGCCATGTGGTTGCTGTAGTGCTGGATGATGTTGTTGTCCATGTTCACCAGGATCCTACAGGAGAGGGAGAACGGCTGGGTCAGATGCAGCACATCGAAAGGTTTGCAGAGCAGCTTAGTCAGGAGGGCTGGACATCGCTGCACCCTCAGGATTCCCAGTCCTGAACTGGCAATAACATCACTGACAAAGCCTCGCGGCACGGGGGCCGGCCCTCTCCAAAATGTCTCCATACAAAATTCCCGTTAAAAATTGCCTTTACTACCCTGTTACTGATCGGCGGCGTGTTACCGCAGCCGCGCCCCTCGCTGCCTGCCAGCCGGGTGGGTTGGCCGCTGCCAGGCTGCTCCGGGAGCCACAGCCCTGGGCAGGCACAAGGCGGCACCGCAGCGTCCACCTTACCCAATTTGAGGGGCTCAGCCGTGATTAATCAATTAAAGCCACGATACAACACAACGGAACATCCTGCAGAGCTTTTCGCAATTCTACCCTCGACATGCCTAGGCCCGGCGTTTGCTACACCGGCAAATTAATCTGGATTACGGCAGGGTGTGAATTTAGAGCAGAACTGCTCACTCCTCGCTTCTTGCCTGGGTGCTTTTAGGGGTGCGTTATTCTGAACAAGCTGAGACTGCTTTGGGAGCAGATGGAAGTGGTTTGGAATAGGACGCCTTTCTCCTATCCAGAACAACCTCCCATGCAGCCGTGCCCTGAGCATTGCCTGGGAGCCCCTTCCGCGAGGAACACACGCAGGCAGGCTGAGCGCAGGCAGCCAGCTGGGCCAGCCGGTGGCAAGTTCCTCCCCGTGCTGAAGGGCACACCTCCAACACAGCTTCTCCGACCTGGAATCAATCACACGGAGACACGGGGAGAAGGAAACATTTCGACAGCTGACTTAAACCTGAGGCTGCGGTTCTGTGGCAGGCAAGAGCCCCTCATTATTGTAATGGAAGTAGCGGGGCAGCTTTGCATCACCCCACTGTGTTCCCATAAATCAGATGTGAAATTTGTAACTGTTTGGAGGAAACAAAGAGAACAAATTATCTTTCTTTGCAGAAAGCACATCCCCTCCAGGTTCCTGCTGGGGTCATTAATGGGGCAATAGCATTAATTGTGCAATGCTCCACATGCCAAGATTAAAAACAAGAAAACGAAAAGGCTGAGCATCCAACAAATCTAACAGTTTAACAAGCACAAACATGGGGCCCTGGTGTCCCTCCGGGGAATGCCCTGGAGGTCAGTGCAGCCACACCGACTGGCTCCTGCCCGTTTGATCACAGGCTGGTCACAGCCCTGGCCCAGCGTGCCCATATTTCAGAGGTGAAGGTGGGAGCTCTGTCCTCGTGTCCAGTCTGTTCTGGTGTCAGCTTTGTCCCAGGGCCCAACCCCGCGCTGCCTTTCAGCGGTGCACAAAACACTTTACCAACAGGCTATTCTGTCACGGCACACTCGGGGAAGGGCAGCCCACCCAGCGCAGGGGGAGGCCGAGACACAGGGTCTGACACCGTCCAGGGGTCTTCCCGGTGAATCATAACCTTCACGGCTGCATCTCACCTCCCAGCACCGGACAGGAGCGGTGCTGGGGCTGCCTGGGGGCAAGAGGCCCGGGCCCCCAAGCCCTGGATCCCAGGGAGTCTGGCCTCCGACAGGTGCCCCCAGAGAGACAGCGTGGATACCCAAGGGTGGGTTGTCACAAAAAGCCTTGCAACAGAGCTGCTCCAATTATCTCTGGCTATCTTAGTGCAGGAAGCCAGAGAAGTCACCTGTGCCTCTTGCTACCTTGCTTCCATCTGATTTCTCAACCACAAAAGATTCAAGGGAGTGTTGATTAGGAATCTGAGCCCTGTATTGTTTTTCTAGACCAAACCTCACCAAGATACGAAATTACTTATTATTGCTCTTGAGTCACCCTGAGATTAAGTTCATCTGAATGAGCTCATCACACTAAGAGGGCCCAGGGCTGACAGTAGGTCCTCACCTGCTGTACATCCAGGCAGTACCACTGAGCTTCACTAGTTTACGCCAGATGAAGATCTGACCCTCAAGCTGTAATTACCAAGAGAGGATTGTTTAGGGTGGAGCAATAGGATAAAATTATTCAAAGGAAAATTAAATCTGGGGGAGCAGGAAACGGTGTCGGACCCTAGACCGGAGAAAATCTTGTATGTCCCCCACGCTTCAGCAATAACCTATGGCATCAGTCATGTCCAGCTTTCATTAAACTAGGTGTCAGATTAATTTTTTTTTTTTAATCTAATTTCCAGGTGTTGCCTTTTCTTCTAATTAGATACCTCTTTGCTCCTCCATTTTGGGGAAGGGATGGAAAGGACATCTGCCTGTTTTCCCTCCCAATCATTATTAAACAACATTCACTACTTATCAGATCAAGTAATGAACAAAACCAAAGCAAAACAAAGTATAGGTGGCCTCTCCCCTGAAGCAGTGCCATTTCCTGGTCCACCTGCAAACTCATCAGTGCTTGGATCTCTCTTGCCGCGCAGATGCTCACAGTCAGCTGCTTCAGAATACTCCAGCCCAAGCTGGAGTTACCCGAGAGGAGTTGTTGTCTGATGACAGTCTGATGACCCGTGATCGCCACATCACAAGCCACCACCACAGCCGACACACCTGAGTTTTGGCTCAGTCCTGAAGCTGTAATAATAAACTGCCCGCCCCTGTCCTTCGCAGTTGTTCTTCTTCAAGATCAGACTTGAGGCACTCTCTGACCGAAGGTGTATGGGACAACCCCTCTCTTGAGGCCACCAGTGTTGCTCTTTTTCTCTGGGGAGAAAATCTCCATTTCTGGGGCTAGTGGATGAGCAGCATCTGACAGCACTGAGGGCCCTGAGTTCAGGACAGGTGGAAGAGCCTCCTGACAAATTCGGATACCTCACTATGGCCCATCCATAATCTTAAAATGAGGACCATATCTAAAACCCCTCCTAAATGGGGAAAGGTTGCTCAGTTGTAGATTTGGAGGTGAGGGGTTTGTAACAGCTTCCCAGTTCAGTGACACCACATCACAGCACGGAGGAGAAACCCACTGCCTCTCCCCCTCCCACCTTGCAGCTGCCTCCAAGCCTCACTTCAGCTCTGCTCTCCTAGAAGCAAACAGGCTAAGTCCCGTGGGCATCAAGTTACGGCGACACCAAATGAGTTGGAAGATCCCATCCAAGGAGCTTTAGGACTTTCTCATTTCGCTCTCACCAGAAAGCAAATGCAGAAGCAGAGCTTTGGACTAACCCAAGGACTCTGTTCCCTTGTTTTGTTACGCGGAGGATCTCTTTGGGGGGCCGTGCTAGTGAGAACAGCAGGGCTGCGTAACGCGGGACCTGTCATCAGCCTTGCTTTTCTGCCCATCTCTCCCCATGCTCAAACTCTGGACCAGGGCCAGCAACAACAATGAGTTCATCTCCCAGGCAGTCACTGCTGCTTGCAAAGCCTGATTGTATCTCGCTCGCTCTGCAAGAAGGGCTCTGGATTTAGCTTTATGAAAATAAGCTTGGGAGTTTATGAGTCGTTCCCTTTCCATCAGCTGAAGGGAGAACTCGCCGCCAGAGATGGGGACAACCCTGAGGGAGTTCTTAGTCCAGAAAACATTTCTGAAAGTAGCGCTTGGCTCCACATCAAGACCACTGCCCTCCACGGAAGACTCAGCGGCTGGTCCTCAGCTCACGCAAACTAGCACTGTTCCCTCTCAGCCATGGGGGAGATCCACATGGATCGGTCACTAATAAACACCACGTTGAAATCACTTGAGAAGCCATTTCACGTTTACTGCAAACCCCACCTGTCACCCCCCGTAGAGCTACGCCTGTCTCCCCGCAGCACCTGACACGTGCCTCAAGTGGGACCCGCATTTCTGTACTGGGGCTGCACAAGAGCCACCAGTGCCCAGAAGGGTCTGATCCATCACCTCCCACAGCGAGTGTGAAGTTTCCTGTTGACCTCCCTGGCCCGGGGCTGGGATGGCGAAGCTGGGAACAGACACTCCTCTTTCAGATCTCCCCCCTTCTCCACCGGGGCTGCCCATGCTCTTATTTAGCCGGTACAGTCTCTTTCTGAGCCAGGGACATTTAGGCACTTGGTTTGGAGAAGCAAACATTTATACCTCTCTGATGGCAGTAAGATAAGTTCTCCATAACCTCCGGCTTTTAGACTGAGACACAAAGGATCATCCATTAAACCACCCAAACAATTCCTCCTTCATCCAACTTCCTTTTCTTGGGAGACTTTACACTCCAAACAAATATAATACAAACAAGCGTTATCCCAAATCTTTAAAGCCCAGAAAGATCTGAGTTTTATATGCTCCAAATAGCACAGGCTCACATGGCTTTACTTTTTATTATCTTGTTAAAACGCTATTTCAGCCTATGGCAGGGTACCAAAGAGAATGGGGTTTTAGAGGCATGGCATAAAAGCAGATGAGAGATTAGCTTACCCTCTTTTGCATTTTTTGTAGACTTTATAAATGCTTTCTTCAGGAAGCCCATATTTTTCTGAAATCTGTGAGAGAAAACATGGCAATTCTTTGTACTTGTAAAATGAAATTCCTATGATAAAAATCGAAGATAACACTGAGCCAGGGGTACTCAGCAGCAAAGGATTCCCCCTCCCTTTTACTCAAGAAAAAAGGGCCGAAGCAATGATCTGAACAGGACAATCTGAACATGTCTGTGTCTTGCAGTGGGCAGATGGGCAGGCTGCAGCTTGGCCTTGGTTCTCTTTCTGCCGGCTACTGCCAGGCCAGGAACCTGGGGGAAATAATCTTCATTTTCTTTCTCTCATTCCCTGGCCTGTTTGGGGCTTGATGCTTCAACCGGCTGGGCACAGAGAGCGCTGAGCTTTTCCTTTGCTGATGCATCCGAAGGTGAGAGAAACTATGGAAAGTGTTTGACTGTGTCTGCTGTGGATGCATCTGACTGCAGCTTTTGCTTAGGTTTTAGCTGATCTGCAAAGCTTTCCGGCAGACCTCTCCTAGGCAAGTACAGCTACGGTCTTAGGATGACAGGAGTTTTGTAGCTTTTTCACAAGCATTTTCAGTAGAGGTTTTTGACTCTTTGTGGTGAGGGATGGGGGAGGGAGAAGATGGCAAAGAATCTTCTGTGCTGACATTTTTCAAACTATTTTTAAAAGTTTGTAAAACCAACAGAGCCTAAAGTGCAGCCATAAAGCCACCCCAAATCTGGGAGGTTTATTGTTTGTTTCCTTCCCAGCAATCTCCAAAGAGAGGTGGGTTATCGGAGATGCTGCTGATAATCGTCACAGAAATATGTCTGTCTGCTCCTCAAACACAACACAGGGAATTCCAGCATGAGGCCAGAATGGGCTTCAGATTGCACATCTACAGCCTTAGGAATGGAAAGGGTGTTTTACAATGGAAAATATGAATGTGTTGTCACAAGAGGAGACTTATATTCTGATCTGAACAAAACCTCTTCCCATAACGTGTGTTATTCCCCGCTGCAGCACTAACGCCACAGCCCATGCCAGGAGCTATGGGTAGAATTCACCTGCTACTCACAATTTCAATTTCTATTCTCAAGAGAAAGCAGACATGAGATACAAGCAGTCTTATGTCCAGCTTGCTATATACCAAGTACCATTGCCCTTTTATCTGCAGTTTGTTCGTGTGCCACAGTTTTTTGATAACACTTACAGCTGTTCTGAGGCCCTGGAGATCTGGTGTCTTCAACATGAGAGCATCAAACACTTCCTCTGACTCCCTCCGCACGTACAACAAGACTGAAAGAGAGAAAGCACAGCACTGAATCAGGGCTCTCTACAGCATTTCTCAGAGCGATGTGGCCTCATGTAATTCAGGATCCAAGGTTACTTGAATCAAATGAAACACTACATTCAGGAAGAGTTCCCATCCCAGGGGTTACCTCTCTGAGGATCTTCTTCCTTGGTTTGCTTTGGAGGTATTGGGTCAAACTCATCTGTGAATGAGGCACCACTCCGTTTTAAGGGCAGCCTAAGCAAAAGGGATACAATACTCTCAAGAGGACAGAACAAGAGCAGCGAACAAAACAATTCCAGCAATTGAACTTTTGACTGAACAACCAATTACTCCAACAAACATCCAGCAATTAAATATCGGTTTTGTAATTACGGCAGCAGAGTGTCTGCCAGAGTTGCAACTTCCTGCCTAACGCATACGGGGACATCAGTGAGCGCAGGCAGTGGTTTTGATATCACACCATAAACAAAAGCCCTTTGCACTTTCACGTCATTGTTTCTCTATTGATATCACCAGACAGTGGATCAAGCCTAGGGTAAATACTGGTTCTCCCCACTCTAGACACATTACAAGTGTGATTTCTACTTCATTCCAGTTTATTTTACAGCAGTTTCTGCCTCTGGTTACTTGAACCCTTCAGTGGTGGTTCTGTGATCTTTTTTTCCCCCTCTTTCAAACATTGTCTCAATAAGAACAGCAGGACAGTCATGGACCAGATTCCCGTTGGAGTGGCTCGCTGATAGGGAAAGAAACGTATCTGTGTTTCTGCATCCCTTGAGTCTATTCTAGGCCAAAGTTTAACACATATTTTGGCACTCAAGGGCATCAGGGAGACACTGTGCTGTGTTATTTTGCACCTGTAGACACATACTGCCTATGGATATCAAACAACCATGACATACCCAAAGAAACAGAGCAGCTGATGGATGGGAAATACAAACTGCTGCATCCTTACCTGTTTGCAGAGTTGGGAACAGCAGGAGGGAGCACCTTGAAATGGAAAGGAAACATCGATCTTTTAGTTTGCACAGTATCATTGTGTGCCAATGAAGCTGGGGGGAAAGGCAACGTGGGCACATTTTAAACATGATTTCCCTCCTCCCAGTCCATCAGTTTTCCTACGCAATTAAACCCAAACATCCGTATGTGTTTCTTAGATTAAATGAAACCTGATATAAAGAACCTGTCTAGATTCTCCTCCTCTGCCTGGAAGAGGCCTGAACACATATCTAGCTAGACCCAAAAGCAGGTCAAATCTCATAACCTGCTTGGGATCAAGGACCAAGTTTCTCAGCGAGTTCTTTGGTTGTAAACCAGATTCTTCTAGTCCCCGGTTTTGATGCTGATGCATCAGTGCAGCAGCCACTGCAATAGGATGGTACAGTATTGTCACAGATGGCTTTTTCCCCCCTTTTTGACAAACTGAGACAGTTGTTTCTTGAGGGAATACTGATGAGCTCTGAAGGACGCTGGGTCTAGGTTTCCTCAGGTTCAGGGGAATAGAGAAGGGCAGAGGACAAGTGAGAGATGTCCCACACGTGCAGGGACTGATATGGTCGCATTTTTCTATAGTTCACTTTCTGCCGATATTTTTGCTAGCACTCCAGTCCTCTGTGGAAGCTGCAGATGATACCTGTAAACCACAGGAATATCTGGCTGGAAGGAACCTGGAAAGGTTATCTTGCCCATCGCTGTTGCATGACTATCTAGGCCACTCCTGTCAGCTACGTCTTCAAGTTCACCACATTTCCACAGAAGAATTGTGGTTTGGTTTTGTTTTTTTACATAACACAAGTCATGGCTGGGGACTGATCGGTTTGGAAATGATGGGGATGACAGATGAGGGCAACAGGTTGGTTGTTTTTTGAAAGGACTTACCGTGCCACACCTCTGCAGGTTTGAAAAATGGACGTTGGGGATAAACAGGACTGGCTGGGTTTCGAGGTCAGTCTCTGGCCTCAGGAACGTGATTTCATTCCCTCTGAAGCCAGAGAGCAAACAGCCTTTCAGACCTACAGATGGAAAGTCCAGTTCATCTCAGTTCAGATGGCAGTTTAAGAGGCAACTACATGCAGAGAGGGGAAAGCGCCTGCCCAAGGTCTCCCAACAGAAATATTAGAAAAAAGACGGGACCCTGCGGAACCAGGTCTTCTGGGCTTGCCCAGTGCTGTCTCCCCTAGGGAAGGCTCCCTGCCAAGACCCCAAGAAATTCAGAAAGGTTGGTTACTATTAATGAAGGGCTTTGAGAGCCTTGGTAGGAGGCCAGACAAGGACCTGCCTGACAAGCTATTTCTGAATGGTGCTGATTTCATCAGGCTTGGAAATACCCAGGGCCAGATCTTGTGGAAGTTAACGGACAAGCCTACATGGATTTCAACACGCTTTGGATCAGGTAACAAACACTAGCACTGACCATTGTTATTGGAGTCCAGGCATTTTCCTTTCCTTCTGAACTGCTTCCTTTCATCATCTCGCATTTTCCTCTCTGCTCCCTGTGGGGACGATAAGGCAAAAATTAGGACATTGACAGTTCTAACATTGGCAAGAGAGGGTTTACTGGCCATCTCTGCGAGGTAAGCACATTAAGGTAAAGGCAGCCTTTATTAAAAAACGCTCACCTCAGAGACCCTCTACAGGCCATCCAGAACTTTCTGATACTTATAAATTTAAAAACAAAAACAAAATTTGCTTTCAGAAATGAAAAATGCAGACAAAAATAGCTGTGAGAAGTTTTTCCATGGGAAGATATCTGAGGTTGGGGAAGAAGGATTCTCATCTCTTCTGCTATTTAATAAACTCTATTTTTGACAAGTTTTTATGAGGCACAATCCCATGTAGATCTGACATAGGGAAAACTTTCTAATGACTGTTCTACAAAGGCCTCAGCAGTGCAGACACATCCCCGCTTTCCTGTCTCACTCAGCTGAGGGGGCTAACCATCTCGATTCCTCAGCCCTGACCTCTCGGCTGTTCTAGGCTCTCACACCCTTTCTGTTTTCCCTCCTGGAGTCACTGGCCACCAGTTTAAAATTCCTCTTGGACAACCTGGTGGAAGAGCAATGTTCTACCTTATCGCAGAATATCTTGATCTGGCAGACGGGCGCGGTGCCCAGCTGGCTGGTTCCATTGCCATAGTCATAAGTGTCTATCTGGAGGTTGAGCGGGACACCTTTCACTCCTTTCTGGGAGGAGAAGTCAGTGCTCAGGCAATTCACCCCAATAAATACCTGCAAATAGGAAGAGAGATTGATGCAGCTTGTTGGTGCTGAAAACATTATTCTCAAACAGCAATGAGAACAGCGGGTAGTAACAAAAGCGGCTCCCGAGACATCCTTCCAACCCTCCCAGCGTCAGCCGAGCATGTGAGCTGTTGTCACATGAGCGTGAGCATGTGACCCGAGTTCCCTCCTGGAGTCACTGGCCACCAGTTTAAAATTCCTCTTGGACAACCTGGTGGAAGAGCAATGTTCTACCTTATCGCAGAATATCTTGATCTGGCAGACGGCGCGGTGCACCAGCTGGCTGGTTCCATTGCCATAGTCATAAGTGTCTATCTGGAGGTTGAGCGGGACACCTTTCACTCCTTTCTGGGAGGAGAAGTCAGTGCTCAGGCAATTCACCCCAATAAATACCTGCAAATAGGAAGAGAGATTGATGCAGCTTGTTGGTGCTGAAAACATTATTCTCAAACAGCAATGAGAACAGCGGGTAGGAACAAAAGCGGCTCCCGAGACATCCTTCCAACCCTCCCAGCGTCAGCCGAGCATGTGAGCTGTTGTCACATGAGCGTGAGCATGTGACCCGAGCGTAAGTACTGGTCCTTCCTAGCCACAGTCTCCCCCGACACCTCTTGCAGCTCTCCATCTCTCTACTAACACTTAGGCTAGCCACTCCCATCAGCTCAGGCAAGCTGCAGACGCGATGCAGTCTGCCTGGGGAAATTCTTGCTGATATTTCTGATCTTTCATTTGAACAAGGGACCCTCAGACAGCAATGCCCTGGAGGAAGGGAGGAGGGCTAGACTACAGCTTCAGGAATTACAAATCATTGCTGCTAGTTAAATAAATATTCATCACACACTGGTCTCCTTTATCCTACTCCTCCTGCTTTAGGATGGCGTCACCTCCAGTGGGAACTTTTGAAGAAAAGCTGAGCGCAGACATAATCCACATTGTATCTCCAGATTACCAACGCATTTGTGTGACCTTGAAATTTCCCCTGGACTCTGGGGACAGATTCACAGCTGGCGAAGCTCCCACAGCTCCCTCAGCAGGGCTTTGGGCTGAGGATTTCAGCCCTGAAACCTAACGTCAGATCTAGTCAGTACCTACATATAGAAAAGAAAGCCACTTAACTGTGGTGTGAAGTTTAATTGCAAGAAGAGAAGTAACAGGTGCTACAGACGACCCAAATACCTGACCCCTCCTGTCGAGGCTCCCAGCCCTCACAGCTCTCTGAAGTCTCACCTTTACCTGCCCCAGGCCAGTGCATGTACAGAGTTTCTGCTAAGAGTTAAATCCAGTTTTGCTGAGGTGCCCCTGAGGGCTTGCCACATACCTGACATATTTCCATTTCTGACAACTTTGCCTTGAAGACATTTGTTGACCTCTTGGGTTGTAAAAGACCAAGGTCGCCTTTGGGCTAAAAGAATCCCAAAGCAAACCAGAGTTTTCCCAAGCTACCAGCTTCAGAGAGATGGGGCATTTATGCTTTTCTTTTTTTCTTAGTTACTTCATCTTTTTTTATATGCTCCTTTCAATCCACACTAGGTACAAAGTGTTAACGAGAGACTCTGAAGAGATGCAGGAGAGACAGCAGAGCTGCAAAGATGTTGATATAAGCTTTATAGATTTTAAGGTCAAAAGGGATCTTGTGACCTGCCTGGCTCCCTTCCATATCACACAAGCCACAGAAGGGTGGTCAGTCATTTCTGCATCAAAATGCTGCCTTGAAAGGAGGGTCTTTGTTCCCTAAGCTGTGGTTTATTTAAATAGGCTTCACCTACATGTGAGTAGAGCCCTGATCTAGGCTGCCTGCTGCAAAAGGCTTTCTTAGGAGTTATCCATCAGCACTAAAAAAACATCTCTGAGCCAGTCTCAGGTGTGCCCAGAGTGTTTATTAGCTAATGGCAATGCTTAAACACACAGAGAAGCATGGTGTCCTTCCTCACTGTCCTGGCAGACAAACACTACCTGGGGCCACTGGAATGGAATTGTTTGGATTTGAAACTCTGTCTTTCAGCTGAGAAGTGGGGGGAGCGTGCCTGGGCCATCAGAAAGGAGGGTACGGTTTTGCTGTGGACCAAGGCTTCCCATATCCCTTCCACAAGCAGTTTGTACCTTTGCTTCTTCGTGGATGTTCCACACGAAGGACAGTGCATTGTAGGCTAACTCCTCGATGTTCTGCACTGTGTTGAAGTTTTCTTTACAGTCAGCTGAAATGCAATAGAGAAGCAGTTTATACTCTGGCTGCAGAACTGGCTACATTCCCGAGGCTTTTCACTCCCCAAAAGCCTGCCTCTCACTGAGTCCAAGGCTAAAAGAAGACTTGTAATATAACAGAGGCCATCCTTGATACCACTGGATAAACCTTAGCGTGCATATGTAAGGGATAGGCCAGAAATGACTCAAAGATATTGGCTGGTGACTGCTATTTGAGTAGTGGTGTTATGCAAAGTCAATGTAGATTGCTTCTAAATTTAAACAACCGCGTGTCTTGCTTTAAGCCGCAAGGTGCTCAGTGAGGTGCTCAGCTGAATGGACAAAACCTTTGTCTGGCCCAGCACAACACACTGTAAAGCCTGTGTGGTGGCAGTGGAGAAGGACAAGCAGTACCAAAGCCTTTTCTAGCCCAGATTCCTAGACTCCAAGAGGCCATAGGTCACATCTGTAAGAGCCAAAATAGTTTAGCAGTTTCTGTCTCTCTGACTGAGGCTCTTCTTTGATGTATCTTGGGCTTCTAGTGCATGTCCTTACACTTGGCAAACACCATCTTAAACCTGCAAGAGCTCCTCAGCCAGAAAGGATCTGAAGCCAGCAGATCAGCCTGCTCCTCCCTGCTTTCCCCCAGGCCAGATTCTGAAGCTTCAACTGTGTTATTGTGTATTGGAAATGCAGTAAAATGGTGCTAGAAGTTATCAACCCCACCCAGCCATCGCAATCAGACAGCCCCACTCATACCAACGTCAATGACCCTCTGCTTGGCCGTGGGCTGGCGGGAATGCCAGTGCTTCCAGAACTTGAGCTGCTCCGTCGGGATCTTTTCGTTGTCAAAAACAATCATCACAACACTCTGTAACACAGCGAGGATATCCCCTATTAGTATACACAGCAGGCTAATGCTTGGTGCCCTCATTGCCGTTTCCAGCCAGTGCATCCACTGGCCAAGGGCAGCCTCATGTCATTGTTAATGTTTTATTGCTGGGGAAACTGAGGCAGGCAAGGGAAGGGACTTGAACACGGTCATGAGGTCAGGCAGCAACAGAGCCAGGAGCGAAACTGAGATGCCCTGTATGCCCCCTAATTGCACTGCCCATGAGTTCCCACTGACTCCAAGGCATACAAGGATCCTGCGTTGGAGGAATGTTAGCAGTGCTGTAGCAAGTATGAGGCTGGGACAGCCTAAAAGGTCTTTTTCTAGACATTCTCAGTTTCAGGAATCCTGTAAGTCTTGAGATATCCGAAGTCTAGCTCCTAAATACAGCTCAGGATTGGAGGACCAGGTTTCTTTGCTGAGAATTCAAGCTCAGCTTAGTCTCAGGGGTGGCTCTGAGGCCTGGCCACACATCTCGGGAGCAAGACGGGGAACGTCTCTCTAGCTCAGAAGTCTTCCCACCAGGGCCCCCAGCCAGCCATCAGCTAGGGAGGCCTTTTGTGCATCCCTGACCTTACTGTGAAAGGTTTCAACTGCCAGGTAACATGAAGGCTGTTGCTGTGCATCAGAGGATTAGCTTGCTATGAGTGAATCCATCCCATTCATCGCTTTAAGCCAACATGAGCCACAAAGCCATTACTCTTCATGTTCAGCTCTGTTCCCAGGCCAGTACAATTGCTGGATGTCTGATTACAGCATGTGTCAGCAAAATTGTCAGCTTGTCTCTTACCTTCACTTTATTTGAGGACAAGTGTAAACATTTGCTGTCTCCAGCTGTCCGCAGCGTGATGGGGTAGAACTGTCCTTTGTTGAGGTAGGCCATGGGAGAGTCCCCAGATTTGATGTGAATGGCTTTGGGTGACCCCAGAGTGTATTCAAAGTCACTTGTATGGAACAAAGAGAGAATGATGAATAAGCACACGCTGCTATTTCACCCCAAAAGCAAAACAAGAGACATGCAGGTCTCCATCCCTACAGGTTACAGACACCGTACACCCAGGAGTCTCTGCCCTATTCCCCATCTCACACGCCCCTACAGTTGTGATCGAGCACCTCCCAGCACAGCACATACTGATTGTCCTCAACACCCTAGGGAGCAGCAGTTCTCGGATATCCTCATTTTACCCTTTGATTTTGGCTTTAAAAACCCTGTACATTATTGTAACCAGTGTTTTTCTGTGGATGGCTACAGAACCATTGCACAATCAAAAGCCTAAACCAGAACAAACAAAAATAGGTACCTGTGATGAGACTTTTAAAACATGCTAAACTCAGATTCCTGTCTCCAAATTCACACCCAAAAATGGCTGACCCAGGAAAACTATGTCCTAATGGGTCCTATAGAAACAGGAGGACCTGCAGGACACTGACATCTGCTTGTTTATCCAGGTGCTTAAAAATGGACTTAGAAGCCCAGCTTGTTGAACTCTCAGTCTGGTGGGCAGCAACTTTAGTCTTTACAGGAAAGATTTGTAGTGTTACACAGAGGAAGGTGTCACTGCTGACAAGCAAATTTAAAAGAAGAGCCTGATTTTCAAGAAGCCCTGCTCTTGGGCATTCACCAGCACCTATGAGCATTCAAACCATGAGGCTATAGCTCAAGCTATTTTCTTCTGTGAGGAATCTGTGCAAGCCACCACCTGTACATAAGCCTTCACACAGACCCTTCAAGTGCCCTGCAGTTGAAGATCGTCGTATTCCTATTTAGTCACCAACCCATCTCTTTTTCCTGCTCCACCTCCTCTGTGATGCCATCTCTGAAGATAGGCTTGGCAACTCCTCTTATCTAGAGCCAGGAGAGCCAGAGAGCTTTAGTGCACAAATAAACAGCAAACAGAAAGCCTCTCGCTCACGAACACGAGCTGCTGTCTGTGTGAAAATCCCCACGTCTGACAGCTGAGTCACAGAGTCAGGTGACTCAGGAGGCAAATAAAAAGTGGGAGGTGGAATAATGTTTGATGCGGTATCTAGAGCAGGAAAGTGCTGCCTGAGAGAAGGGTAGAAAGGAGGAAGAAATCTCTCTCATGTTTTAGGAATGAGAGGCAGTGGCACCTTCTAAAATCAAGGTTGACTAACAGTGCTAAACCCAAAGTGAGAACCTAAACCTTAGATTAGGAGGAGGCTGCTTATCACCCTCATCAACTGTCATCCTCATTTTCTCTGGCATTTACCCCATTCCAAGTAGCTTGTGGAAAGATAGTGCAGCCACCTGGATCTATCTGTAGCACAGGAACCAAGCAGTGCTCCCTGGGAAGGGGCTGTAACACACAGCAAACCCTCACACGGAAGACTTCAGTGCCACATCTCCCCTTGCGCAGGTCAAGGTGCTGATGAGATGCGACCAGAGCAGTGGAAGCAGTTGGCACTGGATTTACACCAGTTTGGCCAACAGAATACAGTCTGAACTACACACCTCTCAAGCTAAAAACACGAACTGGCACAACTCCGTCTAGTAACTTGAATTTAAGATTGGGTTTGACCCCTTTTCGGCAAAACATTTCAAACTCTAATCCCTACTTCCTACTACAAACACTAAAATTCATCACTGCTTTGTGTCTAAAAAGCCATGGAACAGCAACTTGCTCCTAAGACACCGGGGGGACACAACTTGTCTCTGCAAAAGCATGAGATCGGTAAGTTTGCAATGGTCACTGTCAAGACTGGCATTGGGGCGAGGAAAGGGATGCAGTCTTTCCCCAGGAAAGGGACACTGGAAACCCAGAGACCATGGATTGGCAGTTACCTCTTAACACCGTCCGTAGCATAACTCTCAGGGCAAGGTGGCTCTGGCTGGGGTTTGAGGATATCACTGAAGAGTAGCGACTGTAGACAAGTGAAAACAAGACAGTCAAAAGTAGAATCTTTCATTGCTTTGTCCATCCACATTCTCCCAGATATTACAACAGAGGCCACAGATAAAACATGGACCCTCATTTCAAAGCCTTATCCTACTTCCAAAAACAATGTAAAAACCCCAACAATTCAACGGGAATGACATCAAGCTTCTAATGCAAAAGCAAAGCTCCCACTGGACTCCAGCATGAGCAAACCCCAAACTAGAGACAGCCTCATGCAGTACCCCCTGGGCTGCACTGCCAGCATGCAACCCACTAACGGCTCTGACCTCCTGGGGATCCTCTTTGAAAGTGCTGTCTGGCTGCCACCTCTGCTGTGGTGGGGCTACGGGGATGGTCTCGAAGAGGGAGTTCAATGAGCTGTTGTCGTATACATCCCCTGGCGGGACCATGTAGTTGTCTGGGGTGGCATCCAGCTTGCTAGTGCCTGGTGGAAGCATGGCTGGCTTGTGAGGAGTAGGGACACCTTCAAGACTTAAGCCGTTCTTCTTCTGTGGCTCACAATATTCTTGGGTCATGGAAACATTTTCAGACAAGAGCTTCATGAGATGGGCTGAGCCATCAAAGGATGCAATCTCTGGGTCGTACTCCATTCCGTGGCAGTGCCTGGTGGAGAAAGGGTCCTGTCTCAAACCAGGGCAGAGGGTGGACAACCCCAGCAAGCTGTCACAGCGAGAAGCAAGTGCCTTGATGTGCTGCTGGGAAGCAAACTGCACAGTCTAGCTGCCAGGTGACCTTGAATCAGCTGTGTACATCTCCTGCTTGATATGGGAGATCTGACAGGCCCATGGGTGATCTCCACCCACACACACACCTCTCAGTGCAATCAGCAAGAGCCAGAGGTGCTCAGCAGACAAGGGATGATCACACGGAATCAGAGAATACGGTTTAGACATGGTTTGGGGCTGCAGATCCAGGGCCTACATCCATTATTTCTTTATTTAGGCTATTAAACAGTCAGAGCAGCAGGGACAATAAGAAAGATAACTGCTATGTGGTCTTTCCATCTTAGTCTTTTTAAGGCTCATTGACATTGAAAGTTGATTTTTTTTAAATGCCTTTTTTTTTTTTTTTTTTTTTTT